TGGCATGGAGGCGCAGGACGACAGTGAGGTCACGTTCTCCCTCCACTCGGGTGAGTGCTGGGGCCCCCTCGGGACCTGCTCCCACCTTGGCTTTCCCCAGAGCCAGGGGGTGCAGAGGGCCTTGCCAGGCTGCTGTCTCCCAGCCTTCCTGGGACAGCCATCAGTACTCGAAGCTGCCTTGGGTTTGTTTTTGCCTTACACTCTGGCAGAGAAGCTCTTTGGGCCTCCCACTGTGGCAGCTCCTCTCCCATGTGAAGAGTCGATTCCCACTGGGTTTTGATCCCCTGGGAGCATCAGGTGAGGTGGGATTGGCCGCTGAGCAATGTAGCCTGTCTTTACTCTCCTGTGAAGCCTCTGTTTTCTGCGTGAGCCTCGACCCCAAGACCAACACGCTGGCGGTGACCGGCGGGGAGGACGACAAGGCCTTTGTGTGGCGTGTGAGTGACGGGGAGCTGCTGTTCGAGTGCTCAGGTGAGCCTGAGGCTGTGCCAGTGAGAGCTGTGTCCCTTCCCAGCTGTGTCTGTCTGGGAGCTGTGCTGGAGCTGTCCTCTTGACCCCCCTTCATGGCTTGGCCTGAGCAGTCTCTGTCCCCTGATGTCTCTAGGACACAAGGACTCGGTCACCTGTGCCGGTTTCAGTCACGACTCTGTGTTTGTGGCCACGGGTGACATGTCTGGGCTTATCAAAGTGTGGCGGGTGGATGCCAAGGAGGAAGTGTGGTCCTTTGAGGTGGGGGACCTGGAGGTGAGTGGTGGAAGCCCTGGTGCCGTGGGGAGCTCCTGGGCCAGTGAGGGGGGACACCTCCTGTGATGCTGCCTGTCCCTCTCTCTGCCCAGTGGATGGAGTGGCATCCTCAAGCCCATGTCCTTCTGGCGGGCACGGCTGATGGCAACACCTGGATGTGGAAGATCCCCAGTGGGGACTGCAAAACCTTCCAGGGCCCTGCGTGCCCAGCCACGTGTGGCAGGATCCTGCCTGATGGTGAGGCATGGGGGCTTTCTGGAGTGGGGAATGTCACCAGCTCTGTAGCAGATGCACACCCCACTGTCACCATCTGCCCTCCTGCTTCTGCCAGTCTGTGCTGAGTGGGAAGTGGAGGGAAGAGGGGGGCTGTGTCCCCATGCACTGTCTTTGTCTCACCCAGGGAAGCGGGCGGTGGTGGGGTATGAGGATGGGACCATGCGCATCTGGGACCTGAAGCAGGGAACTTCACTGCATGTCCTTAAAGGTAGGGAAGAAGTTTATCACCTGGGGTGCTTCCTATCTGGGGAGTGGCCCCTTCCAGTGGGCTCTGACCTCTGCCTAGGTGGAGAGGTGGCATCCTCCAAAGCCACTGGTGGCTGCTCCTTGCTGCTGGGGTGGTGGCAGAGGCGGCAGGAGGGTGGGTTTTGAGGCCCACTGGGTCTCTGTGGGGATGACACACAGAGCTCATGCCTGCTTCTCACCCCCCAGGCCAGGATGGCCACCAGGACCCCTTGACGTGTGTGGCCAGCAACCAGGATGGCAGTTTGATCATGACGGGCTCTGTGGACTGTCACGCCAAGCTGGTCAACTCCGCCACAGGCAAGGTGTGTCCGTGTGGGCAGGGCAGAGCCAGGAGCACTGGGGACCCCCCAAGGCCCTGTGCCGGGCCAGGGGCAGAGCCAGGAGCGCTGGGGACCCCCCAGGCCCCCCGGCTGGGCTGGGCTGGTGCACAGCCATCGGCAGCCGGCAGGAGGCGTCCTCGTGCTGTGGGTGGAGCCGGGGCTGGGTGGTTCCACCGGGCTCCTGGAAGGAAGTTTCTCCAATGTTTGCTCCCAGGAGCTGAGGATTTGGGGCCGCGTCTTGGTCTGCTGGGGATGCAGGCTTGGTCCCGGGTAAGGAACGGGATCTTTGTGCGTCTGGATCCCCTTTCCCCCGGGGACTAGTCAGCTTCCCTCCACACAGGTGGTGTGCGTGTTCAAGATGGAGAGCGTGGCCCCTAAGGCACCCATCGGTGAGGGCGAGGAGGCAGAGTCCAATTCGGTGGAGTCACTGGGCTTCTGTAATGTGTGAGTGTGGGGACAGCCCCTCTTCGGTGCTAGATCTTACAGGAGTTGTCACAGACAGATCCATTTGCATCCTTTGTGCTTGTTCTGTTGCATCTCTCGCCTCTGTCCTCCCTGGCTGGATGTGGAGATCCTGGATCACTTAGGTGTGAGGACAAGAGACACTGGCTGCTCAGTCCTCCTGGCAACTGCTGGGTTTTTGGACTAGCCTGATGGACCATTATTGGGCCAGGATACCCTCCAGACACGGCTGTTTTCATGCCAGGACATTTTCTTCCTTATTAATCTCGGGCTGGTTGTTGACTCTTGCTGTCCCATTGGCTTTCCTGATTGGGGTGTTTCATGGCTCCGGCCATTGGGTTGTCCTTCATATTCTCAACACACTGCAGCCCTCAGCCCAGGGTTTGCCTTCAACCTGGATCTTTCACACACTTCCATCTCTGCTTCCCCTAGTCCCATGTAATGCCTGTTCCCCTCTCTGCAGGATGCCACTGGCTGCTGTGGGCTACCTGGATGGCACACTGGCTATTTATGATGTCTCCACACAGAGCCTGAGGCATAAGTGCCAACATGAGGTACGGCCCTACCCCCTCTCCCTAGGCCTGGGAGGTGGGCTTTGGGCCTGCTGGAGATCTCTCTCAGAGCCCAGGGGCCAGTTCCTGATTTGTGCTTCTCCCTCAGCCCTGGGCTTCCCCAAAGGCAGCTGCAGTCCCTGCACAGAGGATGTGCTTGGCCCTGGGGGCTGGCTCTCCTGTCTGTGTGGATGGCAGACAACATGGGAGGGAGGAGGGGATACGAGGGGGGAGCTGAGACTTAGTGGAAGTTCCCACTGTGTCCCCCCTTCCCCAGTCTGGGATTGTGCAGCTGCTGTGGGAGGAGAGCTCGGCCGTGGTTTACACCTGCAGCCTGGACGGGGCCGTGCGGCTCTGGGACGCCCGCTCGGGGAAGATGATCAGCGAGTACCGAGGGCACTCCGCCGAAATCCTCGACTTTGCTGTCAACAAGTGAGCAGGGAATCCCTAGACTCCTTCCCTGCAGGGTGGAGGGACCAGGGGTGGCAGGGGCCTCCAGCCTCAGGAACTCACTTCACAAACTGTCTCTCCTTTGGGTGCCCTTGGGGTTTGGTCCCAAGGTGGGGACAGACACAGGTCCACGCTGAGACTTGAGGGTCTCAAGAGGGAGTGTGGCAGTTCAGAGCTGGGCCAGGAGTGTTGGTTAGGGATACCAGAGGTCCCCAGCCCCATATCTGAGCCCTGTCTCCCCGCAGGGATGCCTCCATTGTGGTGACCACCTCTGGCGACCACCAAGCCAAAGTGTTCTGCGTCCAGCGCCCCGATCGCTAGAACTGTGCCAAGGGATGGAGTCCCGGCACTGCCCGGCGGCTCGTGTACAGAGGGATGATGGAGATGGTGTCACTACCCTTCTCCAGCGTGTGCTTTGTAATTTTCCAGCCTGCCCTGCTTTGCCCTCCCCATCTAGGGGCCAAGCCTGGGGTTTTGTATGAAGATGACTTTTAATTATATAAATTATTTCACTTAATTGGATGCCATCTACTCTGCTTGTTGAGGGGAAGA